GTCGATGAAAGGGGTCCTCTACTGAAACCCCCTTTAGGAGAGTATTTCAACTCTTCTGAAGCACCAAATTGTGAAATAATCCGATTATTACTCAAATATGGCGCACGAATTATCATCAAAGTAATCATTGCTAACATATAATGGGAATACTTTGTCGACACTAATAAAACTAATTTGTCATCTATTTTAGGCACAAATCGCAAACCCAATCGGAATTCTGAAAGTGATGCACAGGTACTGAAGCTTTTGCTGATTTGATATAAAAAACTATTTATACTCAACGCTATAATATATAATGTGATGACAATAGGATACGATTGAACATAAGCCTGGATGTGATGAATCTAGTGTTAGAAATGGCCGAATCGTTTAGCATCGCGTCAATCAAGAGGTGTTCACTTCTATCCAACTCTCAAAGAGAGGTCATACTAAAGACAGCTGTGAATCCGAGTCCACTCAAACACATGGTTCGGGTGGCGGTCAGACATTTTCTCGGCGATTACGGCCAGAATGTGATCGAGAAAATCGATTTGTTGCCAATACCAGCGCTCATCAAGAGATATCTTTTCTATGAAATATAGTCATAATTTCTAGATTCCTGTGACAAAAAACGCTTACAAATAAATTATATAATTTTTCATTTCTTTCTATTATTATAATAATTATTATTACAGATAAATATGATTTTATGATAAGAATATGAGGTTTTGACAAACAAACAAAAATTTGTTGGCATTATTTCTACCATTTATTTTATACGCAAACTTTTTAGCTGATTGTGTAAAATGTGAAATAAATATTTCAAAAATATATATATATTTGATTTTTTCATTTTATGAAATCAATCCCTATATAAACATAAAATTTCAATGAGATTTATAAAAAAATGTCTTAAATATACAAAATTTGGAAATCAATATAATTCTGCAAACAATGACATCAATTAAAAATTTATATAAAAAATGTGAATTCTATTAAAACTTTATAGATTTGTATTAATTTCTAGTAATTCCATCCGATGACGACATGACACACGATTAAGTAAACGGTGGCAATACTTGTGGTCAAAAGCATGATTGGAAATCCAATTCTGTGGTCAAATCAAAAGCAAATTAATTAATGTATTCAATTAGTGGCCAACAATTCTCGTGTGAACACAAAAGCGCATAATTATAGATACACTGAACTTAAAGCCATAATTTTGGCACAAACCCAATCATAACAAAGATATCTGCAAAAAGGCTTTTGAAAACATGAGACAAACAAAAGGGATACAGAAATTTAAATATATATTATTAAACGACTCAACAAAGTGTTGAAACACTTGCTAAACATAAAAAGATGTCAAAAACTTTAATGAACTCAAAGCAGTAAATTAAATGAACGGCATTTCGTTTGCTTACTTAAAAAAGTCCATAAAAGTGAAACGATAGCCGTGTTGTTCAGCCACTCCCGCGCAGACCACGTTCGCCGACGCGCCTATTAATGTCCCGTTTCCTATATATGCGAACAAAATAGTTATTTAATAAATCCAAACCATTAGACAACATGACTACTGACCGCCTAAACAGGCGCCGAATGCGAGGGCGTATATGAGTGGAGTCAACGGGACGTGGAATTCGTTGTTTTCGGACAAATCCTCGATTATTTTCACCATAACTGTTGTAAAGGGAATGTTATCGATGAGACNGACCGCCTAAACAGGCGCCGAATGCGAGGGCGTATATGAGTGGAGTCAACGGGACGTGGAATTCGTTGTTTTCGGACAAATCCTCGATTATTTTCACCATAACTGTTGTAAAGGGAATGTTATCGATGAGACTTGAAGCCAATGCCGACACCCATAGGAATACTAAAATGGCAACAATCAGACGGTTGTCTTCGTGGACAGAATTAATTAGATCCTGAGTTAGCCTTCCGATCCACCACAAGAACTTCAACTCCGCCAACGCCTCCATCACTACAAACAGCGCCGCAAAGAATATAAGTGTCGACCACTCGACTCGTGAGATAACACTTTCCAATTCGTCAAAATCGGCCAAAATAAGGAGCAAAATAGCGCCTAATATCGCAATCCATCCGAGACTGAGATCCAAATTGGGAATACTTTGCATAAAGAATAGGGTAATCACTAAAGCCATCACTATTCCAGACTTTATCAGTAGAGGTTTGTTTCGGATTTTGTACTAAATTATATAATTCAATGTATGAGTACTTTATATAATGCCAAACAATATCAGTGTTGATAACAAACTTTGTTTTGAAGATCTTCGAGAATTGCCAAATAGTCATCTTCTGAGGGTTTGGTGTCGTATAGATGTTGGTGGAGAAGATTCTCGAGTGCCATAACTTTACGCTTAAGTACTCCGCGAACGGAGTTCTCGTCTCTTGAATAACCGGATATAGAATTACAGGCTTTCTTCCAAACATCGATCTCTCGCTTCAGCTCTAAATTTACAATTCATTCGTAAAAACATTAAAAACTTTATCTCAAATCAAAGCAATACCAAAGGAAAGCGTTAAACATTTACTAACAAAAGGTTTATTAGGTACTAACTGATTGAGACTACAAATCAAACTAATCGCAAGATTAAACTAAAAAACACAATATTGTGTTNTGATTACTTTGATGATAATTCGTGCGCCATATTTGAGTAATAATCGGATTATTTCACAATTTGGTGCTTCAGAAGAGTTGAAATACTCTCCTAAAGGGGGTTTCAGTAGAGGACCCCTTTCATCGACGGTAATGGCGTTGGGGTCGGCGTCGGCGTCCAAAAGGATTTTCACGATTTCCACTTTGTTCTCAACCTTCACAAGTATATCACAAGTACAACAATTAAAGCCAATCGTCCGATCATTTTACCAAACATTGTATTGGAAATAGTTTTTTACTTTTTCCGAGAGAGCGATATGGAGTGGCAGTCCTATGATTGGAGATCCGACGTTCACCTAAACATAATGAGCAGTTTTATTTGATATCATTGTTAATAAATTGTAAACAATGATTACTAACGTCTGCACCCGAATGGATGAGCAGTTTAACCATTTCCACGTTTCCCCTCAATATAGCGAAGTCAAGAGGAGTGGGCTTTTGAAAGTCGTGCGGAAACCTGACATTCGCGCTGTGATGCAGAAGCAGTCGTACGATATCTATATTACCACTCAATACGGCGTAATGGAGAACAGTTCTGTGGTCGTGACGCTCTGGAAGTGATCACATCATAGTATTTACATTAGTTTATCATTTTTGTAATTTTACAATATGGTATTTCTATTTTGTCTAACATTTCCCTTTTGTTTACGGAATCAAACTTTTTTAAAACTTGGTTTTAAGAAGCATTCAATAATTAATAACCAAATGACAGACATTTCGCACAAAAAGGACACAAAATCCCTTAAAAATAAACATTTCTAAAAACCCATTATATTTAAAATCTATATTTATGTTTAGATTTGATCTAAAAATAGACACTTTATCTGTATTTAGAGATGCGATGGGAAGAGAAGTTAACCGTTACCTGAGGTCATGGCGTTTGGATCGGCGCCGTAGTGGAGCAGTATCTTCGCGGCCGCGTATCCCTGCGGGTGTCGACAAGCTTTCATCAATGGTGTCAAACCGGACCGATCTCTGGCGTCAGCACAGGCGCCGAACTTGAGGAGCATTTCCATGAAAGTGATGTTTAGCGGCGAAATCAGGTTTATCTCGGATCCCAAGAAGTAGCGGGCGTTAGGGTCGGCCCCGTTCTGGAGCAGTATCTCAGCGCACTCTTTGTGGCCATTCTTAATGGCCAATCTTAACGGCTCGTCAGCCAATGTAGCTCTTGGAGGGTTGCCTAAAGCCTGTGCCAACAAAGTATTGTTAGACTGACTCTTAACTTCTATGCACTGCTATTATTTTTCAACATTTACTAAGACTCATGTTGTTTCCCATCATCTGATGAATGTATGACAAAATACTTTACATAAACACAAACAACCCCCCAAGATCTCTCTCTCTCTCTCTCTCTCTCTCTATTTTGTGTATAATTTCTTCAAATGCCCACCAATTTGACAGATTTTGGCAAAATAATTCTCAGCTGAGAATACAATTACTACCACAACTCAGATATGAACTAAATTTAGACTTTTAGTCACATAAACTTGTTTTTATTGTTAATTAATTAAATGACACAAAACTTATCTCATTGTCTCTCACTATTCAGTAATTGAAACAAAATGCCAAACGAAGACATTTGAAGAAAAGAAAATATTCTATTATCTGTTACTAAGAAAAGGGTTACTAAATCCCAAAATGAGAAATATTTTGGCGAATCTTGTGAGTCATGTAATTATATTTGTATTTTATTTTTCAAGATCTCAATCGCTATATTCTGTATATGTATTGAAAAGACATAACTTCATTAAAACTCATAAAATAGAGGATTAATGACATGTTTTGGGTTAATCTTTTCATCTCATAAAAAGCCAACTAATCATTAAATGCAATAAAGAATAAAATGAATTTTGATAGCAATGCTTAAGATTTTGTCTAAATATATACACAAATCTGTGAAACAACTCAATTGCGAGACTAATTATGAGTAAAATGAGCGGTAATTATGAGAGGATAAGAGTGTAATCGGGATTACCTTATCGTCGGGCTGTAGTTCTGTGAACTTCACTCGACAGCTGCGATCCAAAAGCATTTTCATCAGATCTGAATACCCCCTCTCAGCGCATAAATGCCTTTCAAAATAGATTAATAAATAATACATCAATTCTCATAACTTATATAACAAAACACTTCTCTGAAACATTAGTTAATTGTTAATATTTAATGTTTTCGGTGGACTCTATGGCAAAGAATAACTCAATAATAATGCTTACAGAGCTGTGTATCCGACCTCATCCATGGCGTCCACATCACTGCCTCGAACAAGAAGAAGATTGACGGCTTCGGAATACTTCTGATACGTTGCGTAATGCAATGGTCTGAGCCCTGAATGCAAATATCATTGATTAGATATTATATGATTAGTAGGGATGGGGAATATACCCTGAGTGACGGGTTCATTGACTTTTGCCCCGCAGGCCAGTAGTATTCGTATGTCGTCGAGAGGAGCGCACCGTATGATAGAATCGGCTAATTCTCTCTGAAGAGTCTGC